AGTGCCCACAGGAATGGAATTTATGGCCAAAATATATTTCTGCTTGTTTCTCTGTAGGAATCGAATAACTCTTAGAAATAATTGCAATTATAAGGTCCCCATGAATTTTTTGTCTCAGCCTAGCTAATCTGGCCAAAACAGATACACTTGAGGCTCTCTAAACAGGATGGGAAAAGCCTGGGCTGTTTTCTGCGGCGCAGCAGTGTATCGGCAGGTGAAAACAACTGTCAGCTGGAGCTCTTTTGAAGGATAGAATACGGATTATAATTTCTTTACACTTTCAATACCTCGAAAAAGTCTTGGGGAGCTGTTACATTGAAAAAACACTCTCGTTACAATGGAAATGTTTCAATTTTAATGTACAAGGGGAAAGGAGCCATGGATTTTTCCTAACTTTAGATAATAATCCTTTCGGGTGATCTTGCTGAAGAATCTAAAGGTATGATTTTGTTGGAAAACGAATGTCAAATTTTAAAGAGCTTCTTTACAACGCTGTATTTTGTATAACCTAAGTACTTAGAAATATGTGTTAAATGTGGTACAGTGCCATACAACAGAGTAGATAAAAATTAGCAAAATTGATTTATTTCTGAGGATAGATAAAACTTAACGTTTTAACTGGGAATTGTGTAGGTCAGTTCATATAATTACCTCGAAACTATCGGTCAATTCTAAATTTTATTTTCTCTTCTTCGGTCGCCAGTTTGAATTTATAAAAAGAGGAAAAGAACGCCATAAATTTAGATAATAAATCTTTCATTCAAAAACTACAAAACTTCTTAGATTAAAAATTATTTATTGTCGCTCAAAGTCGTCAGCTTCACTGAATAACTCTCAAAACGAAACTCACACCTAAAAAAACTAAAAAAATTGCGGACTTGCAGATGTTTTCAATCAGATGCGGAGCTAAATCAGACAAAAAAAATTGTGACAAAGTCAAAGTTAGTCGAAATTAAGATTCGGAGGCACTTACCACAAAATAATTAGAAAAGCCGATTAAAATTTGCTTGCCTTGAGAAACACGCTTCGGTATAAGACGGTATAAGTTAAATGAAACACGTCTTTATTTATCTTTCATGCGCCTTTTCGGTAACTATTATTTACTCTTAAAAGATTTCTTTCTCTGGTGTATAGCAACGGAGGATAAACGAGAAGACGTTATAAGCAGTCAGTAGAGGAACAATTTAACTCAGTCGAGTTTATTTAACCAAATATAATTGATGGCACCCATCGCCTAAACTTACTTGACTATCGAGCCTGTTGAATAGTGCGGTAGATGTTTCATTACTAAAATTGTTGGTAACGGGCTGGTTTGTTTGTTATTTTTTTTAGTCCAATTTTTGTTTTAATTGTGGTGTTGCTAGTTTATTATTCATCACGAAACTCTCCTAAGGACACAAGAGGTTGGTTAGCCACAGAAAAAAACAAACAAATTACTACATAGCTTGATTTCTATCGAGAATCGGCACCTGTGGTCGCAAAAATATCATAGAAGGTGCCTTCCCATCAGGCAGGCTGGTCTATTTAAAGATTGTAACAGTTTTGGGGGTTAATTTTCATTCTTTCAGTTAAGCAATGCAAGGATTGGTTTTTTTTCCTTTGATATTTTGCCTCACAAACGAAGTAAAATTCTAAAAAAAATTCTTTGTCAGGTAATGCCCAGAAATTTTCGTACTCTTGATCTCACTAATGAAATTTTTTACAGAACCAAAGGAGTTTGAGTGTTTCTACACGCACGCATATCTCTCTAACCATGACAATAATAACAAGTACTTCCACGTGAGTAAATAAATGAAACAAATTTCCCAAATTAAAATCGCAAAAGGCTCTACGTATTTTGGGTCTTAAGGAAATGTTAATTGTTTTCGAGGTGTATGAGGCATTTTCAACAAACGCGCTGTTGTTTTTTAATGAAATCAGTCTTATAAGTTATTTTATGAGACATTTTCCTCGCAACTTGTAGCAACAACAAAATAGCATGATAATCTTGGTGAAGAACAGCGATTTTGCCTTTGGCCAAATGAAAATAGAGGATAGCAAACAAAGAGATAAATTATAAACTATAAATGAGAGAGAACAGATCGTTAATTTCGAGGTGTTACTCTGTAATTTACGAATAACACTTTTAGATTCTTCTGTCTCTTTTGATTTTTAAAAGGAGGACCTTGAGTAAACCACGAGGAAGAGGCAAAACAAAAGATCTAATGAGCAGAACAACAGCTTAGCACGTGCATTTTGAAACTTTGTACGTTTCTTAGCCGTCCTCTGCGAAACAACAACGTGAAATTACTAAAATCTGCGTGGTCTGAGAACAGAACCCAAGTGTTAGGGTATAATCTTACCGACAGAAAAACACTACAATCCCACAAACTCAACTTCTTTATTAAATAGCGAGTAATGTTCTTAACAAGGAGCGACTCCCAAAGGTAGTGCAATGCTTATCGTTAATCAACTTATTTAAGCCCACCACAGTCTATATCTTAGCTCACCACTAACACAATCTCACTGCTGTCTCCAAAGTTCCTTGAAATGAGCAATCTTCCGCAGTAACTCTCTCTCGGTATAGCTTTCAACACAGTCGTCCGACAACAACAACTACTTCTACTACTACATAAGTAAGTCTTTATATACATATTCACAAAGTGTTCTGGAACATTTCAAAAGCTTACAAAAGAAATTTTTTAGTAGTACATAGTAAGTGCATGACTTGATGAAATGTTCTAGAAAGTTCTATGGTATGCAAGTCAGCATGACTCAGCAGTCTGGAGATTTCTAGAAGCTTATATTTACAGTAGTTACTCATAACAGAAGGCAAAATATTTAAGTATCCTTGTGAAGAGACGATGAACATGTCCAGCCATTTGAAAAATTCTATTTGAAATGGTAAATTCGTTTTTTCGAAGTGCTCCGAACAATCCTAGCCAGTAACAAAGGCTTAAAATGAACTGCTGTGGTCAGGAATAATGAGCGGCGACGTTATTTCATACAAAAATACTTTGTTCAAGAATTTCGCAGCGAAGGAAAAACAAAAACTTTCCTCATAATCTTATTAATAAAATGCTCTCCTCCTGTTAAATCTGTTTACTTGTTCAAATTGCCACGAACTGATAAGAATGAGTGTTACTAAGCCGTAAGAGGTTTGGCGCTTAAAACGAAACTTCCAAATTCAGTTTACATAATGGTTATTCAATGAAAATTGTCAAAATTGCGATCCATACGTGAGAAGTCGCAAGCTTCTCATTATTAAGCTGTTGTTGCTCATTATTCATTTAGTTTTTTCCCAGTTTACTTCGAATTTGTAAAGAATAACATCGATCAATTCGCTCGATTGCCCTTCGTGAAGGAATTCACATTTTTCTCCGCTTGAGCGGTCGCAAGGAGTATTCCTCAGTAAATCAAAGCAATTTTGAGTTTATTACAACTGAGCTACTCAATTCGGATCAGAGAGAACACACGCTTTACTGAGTAGGAGAAAAACAATCCGCAAGAGGATATAAACAATTTATAATCTCTTGCAAGCCGCTAATCCAAATAAAAAAATCTTTGCTTGGGTCACGTACAAAATAATTCAAATTGCGACGAGCTTACACAAGCTTAGCCCTATGACTCCCATGAGTGACCAAGACAGAATTTCTTCTAACAGCAACTGAATACATATACAATATCAAGCAGAAAAGTGATAGGAATGAAGAAAAACATCTCTTACGGGATTGTTAGTTAATCCAATACCAAATTCTCAAAACTAACATCATACGATTTGCATAGAAGACAGTAAAGAGAACTACAAACGGAATCTTAGGAGTGATGAAAACTAATGATGTTCAAAGAGTACGGACAGAGAGAGATTATGCTGTTTACGTCAAATTTCTTTTTGTCTCTGTCCCTTTGTTGTTCCATTTTAAAAGAAGCAAATCGTATTTAAAGAGTTCTTCCCTCAGATTTATGGCACTTGAAAGTGTTCCAACGGAAAAAAGCACCGCTCTAAAATCAGTTCAACTCATTAAAATTTATTAAGAACGCCGGCGTAATTATTTTAACCGGCTCATCAGAATCCAAAAAACTGATTGCTGTTTCGGTTCAAAGTTCTTAACATCTGCGTTTGAATTCCTTACTTGAAGAATACGTTTAATAGGACATTAGATCTGAAAATTTTGTCCCATCCTGCGATACCGCAGAGATCATCTTTAGCCAATAATACAGTTTATAACGAAGGAAATGTACATTGAGTGTTTTATTATTATCATTATCATTATTATTACTATCATTACTGTTATTATTATTATTCAAGCTAAGGGAAACGTTAGTGAAGTCTTCTATCAAAAATAGCCAAAACAAAATGAGATTGCTCCATTTTTGGTAACGTTTTGGCCATGCAACCGAAACGGATAGTTCTGGTCTGTAAGGATTTAACACTTGTGTATAGCATAAGTCTTCGCTCCGATCTAACTCAGCGCTATCTTTATTTAAAAGGTAATTAGATGGTATGTGATTGTGAACGCCTCGCCAGGCGGCAATAGTTTAACTTATCTTCATTACTCCGCCATCACGGACAAAATGACATGCCAATTGCAGCGCTATCTCATCTCCTTTCCTTTTGATTGGTTGGTGAATGAGATAAACAACAGAACGCACTATCTAAACAGTGCAATCATCACAAGTAAATAATCACGCCAAGCATTTTGTGAACTCGAAAAATGATACCGTGCTCGGAAAATAACAAATCAACTAATCAGACAAGATGCAAAGATATTATTTACCAAGGTAGCATGCAGCTTGGACACATCATTTAAAGAGAGCGAACACGTTTTGTTCATTTTCTTGTGGGCAGGTTGATAATTTTCTATTTTTTATTGGGTCTGTAAGCACTGACAGCAATAATTCAACTGCATTCTGATCGTTAAGGTAGTTAGTCACGTTCTTGGCGAGTACCATTTGTGAGAGAGATCGTCAAGCTTGCCTACAACTACTCATAGTGTTTTGCTTTCTTGTTTAGAGATCAGAGGCAACTAAAACGGAGCTACTGTTTTGAGTTCATCTCATCCCATTGAATGCAGCTCTCTTTGTTGCAAAAGATACGTACTATTTGGTCAGGAATTGCACAAGCAAGTTTGAGGTAAGGAACCGAGTGTACCTTAACAAACCGAGTGTGGTGTATTTGACTTTGAAAGAGTTCTGCATTCATTTAACAGTGAGCAGGGTGTTCAGGAGGTTAGGATTACGTTTTTGGTTTCACTAACTGACTTAACAATGTTTACACGATTTTATGGTTCACATACTTCCACTTCGCATGACTACAGACACTGAAACAAAAGGTTAAACTAAGCGTTTACATAAATGATCGAATTTAAATCTTTAATAAAAACAATCCTTCGAAGCTGAAAACGAGCGTCACATTTTAGGAGCTGCGCTCGTTAGCGCTCTATTGCGTGGGGCATCCCATCCATCGTATCTCAGACTGGCGGTGTATTATCACTTTAACACCCCGTTCTATCGCAAAGTGAGGCTCTGAAAGTTATTACATGATGTCTCGCTCAGTTCGTTCACTGTTAATTTCTAGAGAATTTGAGTGTTGTTGTAACTATTTTCACAGCACTTAATTGTTTTTCCATACCATACATAAAAGCATTTAAGATTACATTGATATCATTGATGACTTGAGCGGGTTGGCGGTTGGTTTATTATGGTTTTCTATGACGGAACGTTCAGTAACGACAGAGAAGAGCAACAGCTGTTTGTGAATTAGTTGAAATTATTTGCGATGCAGTTTCTTCGACAGACATTCCAGGCGTCGGATCGGATTAAACTTCGTTAGCTACTTCTCAAAAACCTCAAATGTTATCGTTCAATCTTTCAGGAAGCCGGGAATTTTTTTTTTAAAGTGGTTGAAGTCTAACAAATTAAGTAACTTCGGAAAACACTGTGCCATCGTAGAAACCGCAAGTAAGGAGCGCAATTGTTCGATATCGCATCCAATACTTTAGCTGCTCCAATTTCAAAACAAGCAATCATAAAATTTTTCTTTCAAAAAATGGTGGAAGCAGTTTATTATATACACTTGTTGACTTTTAAACCGCTTACATCATTTCAAGAGGTTTCGAGTTTCCGCTTTGGATGAGCTCTAAGTTCCGTTCCGAGACGAAATGGTTGGCGACCATGTTCTGTTTGAGGAGATAGCCTTTGTCGAGCCCGCCAGCTGGTAAATCATAGAAACTCGTCTTTCGAGGCTTAAAAACTTAAGGTGGCAGTGACTGTAAAATCCTATTAAAATATTGAAACCGCAAAGAAGTGCTTAACTAATACACTTCACCTCAAATCCTCAATTGCTGTGTTTACCTCGCGCTTGAATGCAAATTATTCAGGCAGTTCAGGTTTACGATGATCTGAAATTCGTGATCTGAAGAGATAATTTGTACAAAACAAAACAAATACTTGATTACAGAATGTAGAATGATCATTTTGCCGGGGAGCAAATCAGTACACATTGAATCTAATCTCTTTATCACATGTGCCCCTTCCCAGACGCAGCCAAATGAAAGACAAGACCGAAATGACGAAGAAAGAAATTTGAAGCAAATCGCGACAGAATTCTATGCAGGTTAACCCAATGCTGACAGATTTATTACGACATTTTCAAAATAAGTATTTACTTTTAACTGGTTTTTCTACGAGGGCGAAAGAGATCAATTCGAAAGACTAGAGTGAAAAATTAATTTCAAACCCGGTCAAGATGTCGCTAAGATTAAACTCAGTGAATATACTGCTTTTCTGGTCATCTTCTCAGATCATTTAACCACCTGAAAAATTCTTTTTTCGTTTATGCAAGTATTCAGACCTATTTTTGAGAACTGTTATTGACGGAGCGATGTGACGTTCTAGAGATTTCTTAAATTTTGCTGGCACTTGTATGATATATCGATGTTCTTTATCGTTTTGTCCAATCTATTGAAACATGAAAACCCCATAAGTACCCACACATCTGAGATGTAATGAGGAACGATGACGTACAAACCCAATTAACGCATTTTTTGGAACTTTACATCTTCCTATCGCTACACCATTCTTCTCGTAAAGCACAAAAACTTGTACTTGACGCAACGTTTGCTACCACAACGTTTGATACCGCTGACCTGGATGCCTTATTCAAACCAAATTATTCAGCTTCACTCAATGCTCTTTGTTACTTCTGCAAGTTTTCGGGTTTCGGTTTAGAGTCATTAATATGCCCCGCTTTCTTCAGATAGCAGAAGAATTTAATCGCAGATACTTACGGCACTCGAGTGTCTCATAAAAGAACATGTGACACCCATATGCCAGGACTATAAAGGCGGTATATTGGTCACATGAAAAGTTGCACATTAGCATCGTATCGTTCTTGCCGAAAGAGTAAGATGGATGATTTTGGTGAAAAAGTGCTAAAGATAAAAGTATGGATTCTCTTAACACTTTTTTTTTTTTTTATCTACAGTCATTAAGGAACAACGATTAAAAATTGGTCTGAAGTTCATGCAAAAGTTTGTTTTTTAAGAGTCAGATCATGAGCATGAACCACAGAAATTGTCCAGTTCCTGTGGTGTAATCTCTTAATAGCTAAACAAACGTCCAGAAAGAACAACAATAACAATAACAACAACAACAAGTATAATGGGAGCCTAGAATTTTTATCAGTTAAACTGAATACGCCTTGAGGAGAGGTGCAATTGAGATGCTTACCTTCAATTGTGTGTACAGTACGTGATTTAAATGTTGTTGTGTAAACATCTCAACTTAATTCAAAGAATAGTTCTCAAGCTCTTTGACCAAACGGCAGATCAGAATCAAAATAAGCATCTGTTTCTAACCCACTGAAAGTTCATGTCGCCTGCCTGCCTCAAATACCAGAGAATAATTTCGTTTTTCTAGAAAACCTCAAAAAGGTTATCAGGAAGAGAAGAAATGTATCGTTGAGCGGATTTGATCTCTCGATTACTTTTGTATTGTGGATTAATTGAATGTTCGTTTCTTGGCATCTTATATTCACGCATTCTTACACGGAACGCACGGAGATACGCTGGGCTGAAAATTTGCACGTTTTCATTCATCTCACGGATACGTTCAGAACTCAAAATACTGCAAGTTCTAAATTGCTTTGCGGGATATGCACGTGAACGATGCCACGTGATATAAACATATTTCTTCTGAGCCAGGCCACAACCGGAACCCTCGTGAACAAAAATGTGCAATTAGCATACCTGTAAATTTAATTCTTTCGACAGCATTAACATTTCCTGTCTTCATTGTTTCGTTGACATCTATTTCCGAATTGAAGCGTAAGGTTTAAGTCATTTCGGTCTATAAATACCCTCTACGCATAGCATACTATTGTTTGTAACAGAGACTATCGGTCTTCCTTGATAGCCGATACGATTCCTTGAAAATTCGCTCACCGTGCTTTATAAACAACCCCCGCATTGATCGCCTGGTTTGCAATTAACTTTAGATTGTTTGATGGAATTATGGCATTCTTATCTTAACGTAGGCTTTTTCTCAATGGCTATAGCATCCTCCAGCCGACACGACTAAGTCCTCCGCAGCCGTTATGCGAACGGCAAGATTGAGACAAAATTAAAAAATTTTCTGTTCAAACTGAAAGTTGTTGGGCACTTTAAGTCAAATTCCTTTACACGTTTGACTGAGCCAGCCTCCTTCTTTCTTGAATTACTTTTAGTACAGCACCTAAACTTTCTGGCTGCAAGCAAGCCGAAAGACATTTCCTCCTGTTCATTCGAGTCGAAGTCTTCTCTTTAATTAGGAAACCGTCCAAGCAAATCTTGCTGGCCGACCAAAATAGGCCGCACTGATTAGCCTCATCGAAATGTTTTTTCAACCACGCGTCTTAATTTAATAATTTTGGTATTTCCATCAACAGTGTCTAAATGCTTTGATTGCGCTCCTTGTGTAAGGTTGATTCGTGATAAATTGTGAAAGTGTTTTGTTGGTGACGCAAATTAATAAAATGACTCATGTTTCTGAAAGTCGATTTACCTAACAGCCGTAGCAAACCAAGGAATGGAGAGGTCATCATGTCCTCGAGGCTATTTCATTGTTTATCCTGTACAGATGACGTCCGAATTATGTATTTTTCGTTTGGTTATGCTTCTTTCGTCGTGTAACTTGCAGAGAGAGTGTGTTTCGCTGAGCGACTTAAGACAAAGAATAGCATCTTCAAGTAGATACTTGAGCCAATCGAAACGCTGTGAATCAACATGCTGCTGAAAGATATAAGTCAGTTTCTCTATTAAGAGAACAGAAGTGGGTGCAGAAGGGTTCAGACAACAGGACATTATCTCAGCTACCCGGTTTGTTCCCTCAAGTTAGGAGGATCTTTATTTGGTTTAGTTTATGCAATTGTAACTTTTGTCTTTGGAGCTCTTAGTCTGTGGAGCGTTTCACATAGCGACAACTTGGTAACACGTAGTTCCAGCTAGGTAAGAATTTTCCTATCATTGAAATTCGTTCTCTAATCATCTTTGTTTATATTGCATACAGTGTATTTGTTTAGTATCAAGGAAAACACACATAGCGGTCATCATCTGTATTGAAATCCGCTTTAGGGATTAAGGATGTCTTTAAGCACTTAGGATCTGTGGTTGGTTAGGCGATATACAAATGTTAACCTTCTCATTTAGGAGATCTGTGTCAAGAGACTGTTTATATTATCATAACTACCCGCGTAAGCGACCCTAACTGCCCATTCCAAATTCCAACGGCCTTGAAAATAACAACTCTAACAACTTGTATGAACTGGAGGTCAATCATGAAGAAAGGCTTAACTGGAAAACGTTTCAGTAAACTTGGAATATCAATTTATTTTTGCATAAATAAGGTTGAAGTCACGGTTCTTTGCAGCGTGGCAACACTGAACCATTTCTGGTATGCAACCTTCATGCATAGAATCATTTACTTTTCAAATTTTCCAGATGCGGCCACAATAAGTTCCATATGCAAACTGTTATTGTTCAGCACGGCCAGAATCTAGCGTTTAAAGAAATCGACATTCATATGGGCTGATTGAGCTAACATTGATCGCAAGCGCCCTAAGGGATAACACTCCATACGTGCTACCTGCCTAACTTACTTCAACTAAGTACTGTGTTAAATTGTAAGACGATCGACCCTTGAGTGCTTTATCAAGCTCTACAATCGAAACCTCCGATGTTAGACTCATGAAATGATCTTTTGTACATTGTTAAAAAAAACTTAAACAATTTTGCAATTTTAATTGCAACAAAAATGTTCGCTTTGGTTAAGTTTTGTTTGCGTCATGTCCCATGAAGACAAAATGCTTCTATTATGGTTTTGTAAATTGGTTACCGCTGTGAAATGGAGCATCGGCTAAAAATATACCGCGGCCTCCCTTTAATAACTTTGATTCACGTACCGTTAGGTGCGAAAAATATCGAACTTATGAATGCTGTTCCAAATAATATAGTTCTCTGTTAAACGCGCAAGTTTCAAATTCAAGAGTATCTTTTCGTAACGCTTCCTTCTTGTAAATCTCATTTGTCAGAAACTATTAAAGAGCTAAGTTTTGTTATCGATTAAGGTATTTTATTTATTCAGCTATAAAACGTGAGGTTGATTTAAAACGAAACATAAGTTTTGAGAGGCATAAACTTTGAAAACGTTTCCCTATTCCTGAGATGATCCTATAGACTTGACACAACTCTAATTTAATTAATTAAATGAAACACTTTCTCGCAAAAAGCGCAGTACATCTGTTGGATGGAGCGAAATGTAGATTGTTTACGTTAGATGAAAAAGATTACCGCTGGATTAAGCGCATCAATCATGATGACAAGAAAGAGGAAGATTTAGCCGAACCTCAAAGTAATAGCTGAAGCGAACTTCCGATTAGATAACCACACTGTATTAGGTCAAGTTGATTTTACCACTTAATGTATCGAAATGCATGTTTTTCGAAATTATTGACATACTTTTTTATTCAGTGCTTTATTCTCCGTCACTGCCTGGAAAAAATTGGGTACTCGGAAAGCTGCTCGTTTTAGTAAGTTTTGATTTAGTCCTGATAAAGTAATGTATATCTGATAGCTGTGCGGTTTGCTTATGCCTTCATAAACAATGGAGATTTATACTTGATAATGATTATTCTGTACCGTAAACACACAGTTATTGCATCCAATCAACTAAATCTTCCCAAGCAAAGGATTGTGCATGCACTTTACTGCAACTATGTGGCACTTCTTGCGGTGACCAATTACTTTTTCCAGTGACTCGTTGGAGATGTAAAATTTAATTTCCGTTTGATACCTCAAACGGAAAAAAACTGCCATTAAGGGAAAAGTAATAATAGTAGCACAGTGTAGGGTTATCTCTCTGGGTTATCTTCAAGATACCATTCTAAGCAGAAATATCGCAAATCCCGGCTACAATTTCGCGAATGACATGAGCGCTAATTGTAAGTACAAGCCCACGCCTGTCTAAATATTTAACAGAGCTGCTGACCAATACTTGTATCATTTCATGAGTCCTACAGCAGGACTCATGAGAGGATTTTTGCGGTGAAAGAAAATATGGCTTAACCGTCGAAGAATATATATACTAGTTATCGAGATAAAGAAAGTTGAGAAAGGTTTTGTCGGTCGCTATTATCAATGAGCTTATCCTATAAATAGAGCATTAAGATAAAGGTCTGAAAACATCATCCTCGCATGTATGCCAGCTGGTCTTTGGACCACATTTCATTCAGGCAAGTTTCTTTCACTTCAAATTTTAATGCTATAGAGAGGGGGTAAAAAAGATTGTCCAAAAACTGAGAAAGAACTTGGCAAAATGGCGAAATTAAAGGAGATAACCATGTCACAGTTGATCAAGAATTTTTCACATTTCGTGGTTTCTAAAGCTTCATTTATTCTTTAAAAATTGAATTAAAGATGTATCTTTTAATCTAACCAAGCTCTGTAATTATCAGCCTGGCGCGTGTTTTGGTTGATATGATAGTTGTTCGCATACCTTACCGCTAGGTTAAGCCCATTCAGCACTTACTTCTGGGCCAATATGGATTTTAATTGACTATCACTTATAATCAGTGCCCAATTGTAAAAACACGCCATGAAAATTTTGAAAGCCATAACTTTTCCATCAAAGATTACGTTGAAAAATTTCAGTAATTGTTGAATTTTCTATCACAGGAAATTTACTTAGTGCGGGTAAACTCATTCATGGCCAGTCTGGTCGGAGACTAACGAAAAAAGATCGAAGTCGTTTCGAGCACTTTATCGTGGTAGTTCTTTTATCAATCTTTTTGTCAAAGGTAATTGTGATGTCATAAACTCATAGCGTTCGATTCCGGTAAACTGCGTCTGTGCCTTGCGCTTCATGCTGAGCGCAAACATACACTGACAGAGGACAGGACTGATGACATCCATTATCAGAGCCCCCGCTGTGTTCTTATGCCGTTAAAATGATAACCACAGATGTGAACAAAAAGCCCGGAACTAGGCGTTTACTGTCTATTGTAAGAATAGCAACGCAGGAATCCTGCTTAAGCAAAACCTTATAATACTCCTTAAAAGTGTATATATATATATATATATGATAAGAATGTTTAATAGATTTTGGTTTGAGATAACGAGTGAGTGACACCAATAGGTCATAGAGAGAAAGAGAGAGAGAGAGAGGTACAACACGCCGGGGGAGGGTGAGGGGGGGTGGCAAGTGTTTGTGTTGGTCATGTATAACGTGTGTCTGCTCTATATATTTTAATTGCATCAGTTGTTAGTTCTACTGAATTAGAGGGACTCGTTTGACCGGGTTGAAGGGGGCTTGTTATATCGGGGTTTATAGGGGCCCGTTATATCGGGATATAAAGTCTTGTTTCGCCGGGCTATAGGGGATTTCTATACCGGAATATGAGAGCTAGTCATATCTAGGTACAGAGTTCGTTATATTTAGTGGTTGAGGTTGGTTTTGTTAGGGTACAGGTGTTTCTTAAATTAGGTTATCATGTGTAAGATTTCTTTAAATCATCATTCATAATAACCAGAAGAAAACGAATAGAGATTTTTTAACTTTATTTTCCGATAATTTACGTATACAAGCCTTATAATGTTGAAGGTAGATCATTTAAAGCAAATATTCAGACTTTGCAGATTTTTAACCGCGACTCAACATTTGGAAGATGTTAAAATTACTTCAGAACTGATATCGAATATCTTTACACCTAACGGCAATAAACACAATTCAGGAATATATATTATACAATTTGAGTTGCAACACCATTTAGAAGTTCTCGGTTATTGTAAATTTTCAAGCATCATTTCGGTTTTCATTTGAGTGGCTTGCTTTCTTATTATCTTGAAATGTGAATATAACAAGCTATGTTTTGAAGTGCGATTGCATTAAGGTCATTAAGGTTCATTAAACATAATTAGGCAACGCTCCAAGCAATGGTCCTTTTTCAAAAACCACCCGGTGGGCTGTTTGAAAAAGCTGTAAACAGCGTTTTTCTTATCCAAAGAACATCTTATAATAACTTGCAATTGTATCTTTGCATTCATGACACCGCATCAGTTTGCCCATCTCTGTGAAAAACCTATATTAGTCCTGACAAGAACTTAGCGTGTGCACTTATCAAATTATCTCCAAAAATAAAAGTGTCACAGCTCCTTAAACGCATCACTGGTTTGAATCGACAAAAGATAAAACGTTTTTGAATGCATGCTCTCAAATCAGCAGCGTGGATCATACCAGTCATTTAAGACTATCTTATCGCTCAGAAACGTAACTTTTCAGTTAAAATAATTTGCGACAAATCAAATAAGCATTTCTTGGTAACAGCTGAGAAGATTAAGAGGCGACCTTTGCCATGCACATAAGCATGTATGGTTGAACGATTGCAATACTCCTATGCTAGTCATAACAAAGAGGATTGAATGATTTGATTGAATGTGCCGCTCTAAAATCACTGTCTCATAGAAAAAATGAAGGGATTATTTTCAGTGCGCGGTTCTTACTGAAATCGCGTTCCATCATTTTTTACTAAATGTCCCAGTGTTTCCCGTCAGCTAGGCTACACTAGCCACCCAAATTCTGTAGAGTCCTGTCAGAACTTGTCGGGTGGTGCGAAAATGCGACCAACTCACGTTCTCTCCTCAAGAAAAATTCATCCCACACTGAAGTACGTAGCCATGTGTGAACTGAACGCAGCTTGAGACAGGTATTCGGCAGAAAATCGAAGTAATTGATAGTTCGGGAAATTGGACTCAGGTGAGGTCACGCAGATATACTATCGATCCACGCGATTATGCGAAACCAAAAACATGTGAAGAAAACAGTGTTGAGAGACAGACGTCTAGATTAATCCGTATGAAGCCTAACTGTCACGCGCTTAAGCAGCTTAAACGCTCGTAAATCCTAGCAGAAGCATGACACTAGTTTATGCTTTCTTCACTACGATTGCCGAGTTGACCTCTATTGAAAGCCATATTGAAATTTTGTCAGGAATCACTAGGGCCAATTGCTTATTCCACGAAATCATCACGGCTAAAATAATAGTGTTTGGTTAATCTTCTTTGTTTCTTTCAACTCGTAGACGCAGCAACACCAAACACCAACACCAAATTTGAGCAGGAAACGCCGAGCCTACAACAGGAAATATTTGGTCCATCATGAGCGCCAATAACAGCAGTGCGCCTGTACCCGTACAAGTTGGGTCCTCAGAGAATAGCGTTTCTCACAAAGTCATTTCTTCCATAGCAATTACAATTCTCATCATTCTGACACTCTTTGGCAATGGCCTCGTCATTTCCGCTTTTTATGTGTTCAAAAGGATTCGCAAGAGTGTCACGAACTGGTTTATACTCAGCCTGGCTATAAGTGACATGATGGTAGCATTTATCACCGAGCCTATTTGGTTGGCTGGCGAGATCCTCTCTTGGCAATATCCACCAGAAATCGATGTACCGACCTTCATCATGCTTTGGACCATGATCGACATAATCTGTGCAATTTCATCAATCTCTAATTTGATGTTCATCTCCGTGGATCGGTTCTTTGCTATCAAACATCCTCTGATCCATCACACGAAGATGACTCCAGGCAAGTGCAAATGGATTATCCTGCTTTCCTGGGTGCATGCGGGAGGTACATCGTGTCTCTATCTAGTGGACCCTATTTGGAAGTACGTGGTGATCTTCCTATTTGGATTCATTATCCCTCTAATTGTCATACTGTTTTGTTACGGTGGGATCCTTCACGTGGTAATCTCGAGGTCTCGACTCACACATCGTCATGGGAAACGCCTTTCCACTGAATACAAAACGGCCAAAAGTCTAGGCGTCGTGACTGGCGCCTTTGTTGCATGCTGGCTTCCATTTTTCATCGCTTCTTTGGCGTTTTGGTATTGTGAATCTTGCAGAAGAGATATCGACACCATTCCAGCAATCACCTCCGCGGTGAAATGGCTGCATTACTTAAACAGCTGTTTAAATCCCATAATTTACGCGTTTTTAAATCCCACTTTCAAGATTGCATTCAGGAATCTAATTAGGAGGATGTGTGGCAAAGAGACTTTAAACTCTTTAGAAACTGAAACTTCGTTTGCATCATTTCGTCGACGAGACACTTATGCCTCCGTGAAGAGCAACGAGAATGGAAAGGACAAATCAGGCAATGTTCCCAATGGAAATGCATCTTTTTACAAGAGTCCCCTTTTGAAACAAGAGGGTACCAAGATGAATGGCGCAGTTAAGCATAACTCTATCAGCGATGATGGCAGTGTAGAGCGCGGTATTGAAACACCCGAAGACAAATACTTCGGAGGTGACCCATTTTGTTCTACACCGCTTCCACCATCTTATGAGGAATGGTATCAGTTAAAGAACTGCGAAAGCAATGATGTATCACAAACAAGTAGCAGCTATGTCCCTGTTGCAATAAATAGCGATTGGAAGGAAGCACCGAAGCAAACATGTCCCATACAGTGCGACAGAACTGTGTCCTTTTCGGATGACGTTAAGATATGTGGCGAAAAGTCACCAGAGAAGACAGCAAGCGATATGTCTGCGTTGGAAGGTCACATCTCTACCTACCATGACGAGAAAAGCAATCAGACTTTCTTACTCGTCGATGGAGTACAGATTCCAGACGGTGAAATCCGAACAACCGATGTTTAAAAAAAGAGACATTAAAACTAGGACATGGGCAAGTATATTAGGTTATTTGAGATACAGTGGAACGTTTCTGTACGACGATCAGTTTATAATACAGATCTCTTCAGTATTACCTCAAAAAAGCTTGATAGGCGGTCAGTCTTAAGCCCCGTTCAAACGGTCATGATATTTGATCATAGTTTCAACTATCAAGCGCGTTTGAACACGAACTATCATGCACTTCCATCCTCTATTATCGACTGTACGTAGTTTGGACACGTTAAAATTCGACGTGATAGTTGACGATAGTTTTTGCCGTTTGAACGAGCGGATGATAATGAATGAAAGTTTTTCGTTAAACAGTTTTTCCAAAAACGGACTCAAACCGAAATGGCAAAGGGTGAAATGAGTAAAGTAGCGGTCAAAACTTCGCAGAATGTCTCGTAATTCATTCTCATCATCTCCAGGTAGGCTTCAGTATCTTTAACTCGCAACTTTGTGACTAAAATTTCAAATGCCACCGAAATTGCTTACATCGGCGCGCCTCATATTTATTTTCAATTACACGATCTCATTGCGTTAATTTTTCAAAGGTCATCAACTATCATGAACCGTTCGATCTAAAACATGAAAATCAATGACGGTGAGTGATAGTTGAAACTACCATCGACTGTCATCAACTATCACGACAGTTTGAACGGGGCTTTAGTTCTTCCCACCTATAGCTATTTTCACGCCCAAAAGATTCATAGCTCGAAAGTGGTCGTAAGAACGGGGTTCCATTGTTCTCCCAAAAATTGTAAAGGCTAAACCATTATGGTCTGCCATTCAAGGCAAACCAGCAATTTCCTTTTTGCCATATTCCTTTGTTGATAAAAACTTAGTTCTCTATGTTTGAGCTGGACAAGGAAACGATGCGAAATTATCTGGGATACTAGTGGTCACACATAGCCTGCCATGCATGTTCAAAATTACCCGCTGTCAGAAATTAACTAGTTTCCACATAATTATCTGATTCATTAACACAGAGAAATTTGAAAGGGCTGAATATCAATTAAATAAAGTGAACATCTCCATCTACGGGACACTAACGATTAATGGAAACATTTTTCGGTTGTGTCGACAAAAGGGACAAACGCTCTTCAAGAGACGTTTGCCTCTTGGATCAGGAAGGTCGTAATGAAAAAAATAAAAAGACAGGAATATCGATTATTTTGTAAAATAACTTCTTGAGAGCCTCTCTCTCTATGAGACGATAGTCTAAGCTAAGAGCGCAATTTAGATTAAAGACAGATTAATGAATTAGTCAAACATCCCCTTCATATGATAAAAATATATACTTTATAGACATTCATCTTCAAGCATTGAGTCATTTTTAATAGAGTGTCGAAAATAATCCTAGATTGATTTAATTTTACTTTTATTCGCTCTAGGATTGGTCTAGAAAACTCACTCCACTATCTCAACCAATAAACCAATCCCAACTTGGTCACCCGCGTTTTCCCGCACTTCGACTAGGTCACTTGTTTTTACTTTGCGTTCTCATTGGCTAATGATGATGTAACCTTTGTTCTGATTAGTAGTTGTAATTACTCTGGTTTTGATGTTCGACACTCAGTTGAAAACTGCTCTAAAGAAGCAAGAGAAGACCATAATCAAAGACTGCTGCCACTGTATAGGTCTCATAAATAAGTCAATTCAATTTTGAGGTATTATATTTTGATTCACGCCGGGCCTATCGTTCGGTTTGAGCATGTCTTATCTGTAGGTAACCCAGAATAAAAAAAACTATCCTGCAAATAAAATAACCTTTTTTTTTCTCTTGTCAATGATTACATGAAGCTATTGATTGAGACAAAAGGCC